TTAAGAAGTCATGACTAAGAAGCAGTCATTGTAGGAGACTTGAAAATATCATTATCTCAGAGAGCTCACAGTACTCTGCTTAGAGTCTACCCAAGCATGCACATAATTGATGTTCAGCTGAAATTTAGTACTGGAATATAGTGTAGTGGTTATTAAATATAAGCCATCTATATGAGTAGATATGAAGAATGTCTCAATAAAACAAGGACAACAGAGAGGGCACTGAATTCTGTGAAAGAGAAAGTGTTTGTGGACTAGAGAAAATATGGAAACTAGAAACCAGAAATGATAAGAAAGAAATGGTATATACATAGTCAACTCTGGTCCCCTGGTCACTGAGGCCAATAAAGGATGATAAACAGGACTTAACCTCATGGTCTGACTCAACCAAACACCTCTCCTTCCTTTCTTCTCTACTAATCAATTGTTAATACAAATATTTATTTTGTTTTTTAAATTATGTGTATGTATGTGTGTACATCTGCATGTGGATATGTGCACATGTGTGCAGGTGCACACAGAGGCCAGAAGAGGGCATCAGATCCCCTGGAGCAGAAGCTCAAGTCCTCTGGAAGAGCAGCAAGTGCTCTTTAGCCCCTCCACTAATCTTTTTTAGGCCTGAAGCAGCACCTTCAAAACTAGGCTCAAGGGTTATTTCATCCAGGGATTCCAAAATGTGACCCCCATACTCTTAGTGGAATTGCCATTGCAATCATGAGACATAATGTTTCACATTCCCATGATGAGCTTCTTAAAGCAGAATTTCCTCAGGCATGGGGCTCCAGAAGGTTCTGATGCTAAAACACCTATGTGAAAAAGGTGCACAAACCCCTCCTATCTGTTCTCCAGTGTTCTGACCCAACAATTCCTGCAACAAACCCTTTGCTGTTCATCTTGGCATTTGATAATCTCAATTCTGGTATAGGCTTAGTTTGAGGGTGACTCCACATGGGCTCCAAGAGCTCTCCCATTGGAGTTCCTTTTGCCCACAACAGCCAGATTTTATGGGTACATTCTCTCTCTCCATTCGTACCTGCTGTGGTGGTTAGTTTTAAATGTTACCTTAGTACAACCTAGACTCACCAGGAAGAAATCCCTGATTGGAGGATTGCTTCAAGTGGCTTGGTCTAAGGATGTGTCTGTGGGGGATTATTTTAACTGTTACTTGAGGTGGAAAGACCCACCCTGGATGTGGATGGCATCACTTTCTGAGCTGGACTCTGAACTGAGTAAGAGTAAAGAAAGTTGGATGAACATAGAAAGAGCAAACTAAGTTGATGATGGGTGCATTGATTTCTCTCTGCTCTTGTCTATGGACATGCAGTGACCAGCTGTCTCTAGAGCTCCTGCTTCTGTGACATCCCTTCAGTGATGAACTGTGACCTAGAATGGCAAGCTGAATAAACCCTTCCTCTCCTTTGTTCCTTGTTGTAAGGAGCTTCACCACTGTACCCAAAATGAACATGGAACACATCCCATGCCCTACACGTGTTCTGTTCACTATCCAAATGAACTACCAAATCTTTGATTCTGGCCTACTTCTTCGAAACCCAAGTCAAGATACCTATAGAATCCACCAAGTACCTGGGCTGTACCAGAGGTCTTCACTATCTCCTACAGAGCTAGGGTTCCAGCTGAGAATATTTGGCTTTCCAACCATCTTCTCTAACTGGGCTTTGTGGCTACTCCATCATGGAGGTATAGGGAGTCCTCTCTTTTCCCAGTCATCTAGTTCTGTGTGTCATTAAGAGTCTCTTTCCAAGTAACACCTGCCTACCCTTCCAAAGCTCTACCAGACTCCCACCTCCTCTCAGGGTATCCTAGTTTCACTGCCTATTGGCTGACAAAAGCAACTTGGGTGAGAAAGGGTTTATTTCAGCTCACTATTTTGGGATACAGCCCATCATCTTGGGGAAGCCAAGGTGGTAGCTTAAAGCATCACATTACAGTCAGGAGCAGGCAGACTGTATACATTCTAGTGCTCTACTCCCCTGCTCCTCGATTATATAGCCCAGACCCAGAAAGATGCTGCTCACAATGCACAGGTCTTCCCACACCGATGAAAGCATCAAGATGCACATACCCCAGACATGCCCAAACACCTCCATCATCCAGATAATCCCTCATTGAGACTCTCTTCTCAGGTGACTCTAGCTTGTGTCAAACTGACATTTACAGTTAACCATCACTGTGGACATGACTGCCTGAGGGATAACTGCCATCTCCACCCTGTAAACCCCAACCCTGCACAGTCCAGCCGTACAAGATACAGTGGCATCCTATGTTAATGGTTGCTGCCATGGGCAGTGAGGTGCCTGTGTCACACATAACAAGAAGTCAAGCAAAGGTTTCTTTAGGGAAGTAGCAGGATGGGATACTGGGGACAATTGGGCCATCAGCCATCAAATGGTGGCGGGGTAGGGGATGTTCGAGCAGAGGTCAGGGGACAGTGGTCTACTAAAACATAAGGTTTGCAGTGAGTATACAAGAATCTCTGAGAGAAGAACCGTACTAGGGAGAGATTTTACTAGAAGATTCTGAGATTCCCAGCAAGTGAAGAAAATCCTTCCTCTGAACATCAAAGTCAGGCTTAGAAGGAGGCATAGATAACAAAGTGCCCACAGTAAAGGAGAAGAGCAGGAGAGTCTAGACTTGGCTCAGTTGGCAGAGTGCCTGCCTAGCATCGGGAAGCCCCGGGTTCCATCCCCAGCACACATAAACAGGTTATACCAGCATATGCCTGTCATCCCAAGACTTGGGAGGCAGAAGCAGGAGGATCAGGAGGCAGAAGCAGGAGGATCAGGAGTTCAAGGTCATCCTCAGCAACATAGATAGTTTGAGGCAAGCCTACGCTGCATGAGACCTTGTCAAGAAAGAGAGGGAGGAAGGGAGGGAAAGGATAAAGGGAGGAAAATAATAGCACTAAAATCTATTCAATGACAGATTCTAATACACTGGATGATGATGCAGAGGAGACAGGTTACTGGTTCCAGGGGCACTATTCACTGAGTGTTTTGGGGATCAGCCAGCAGTTCTAAAGAGTCTTGAGGGACCCCTCCTACTCAGGATGATCCAGACCTGGTCTCCTAGAGACCAGGCTACAAAAAAGATCAAAGTGAGCCCATCTTCTTTCCAACCTGAGAACACCTTTGGGGTAATCCTTCTACTCAGGCTGCTCAGCACAAGAGGCTTAGGTACCCTAATCCTATGAGCACTTGGAAGATTAGCCTCCTGGGCCTTCAGCAGGCTCACTAGCTCTGCAGTTGTCATGTCTGTCCTGAGCTCAGAGGGATTTCTCCCTGTGGTGAGCATAGTGAATTTTGTACATTGTGAGCAGCTACAAGAGCATGATTATCTGTCTACACACCTGGCCAATGTACATTTGTCTGATGCTGTCTCCAGACATCCTAGGAGTTGCTTTCTATTTTAACAAACCCATCATCTCTAGATGCTCTGAATTCGAAAGAACAACTGACACAATTTTCACCTACCACTGGTGGGGGAATTCTAAAACAAAATGTGTTCCTAACAGTGTGTGTGTGTGTGTGTGTGTGTGTGTGTGTGTGTGTGTGGTGATGTGTGTTCAGGCTGGAGATCAATGTTAAGTGTTTTCTTTAAGGTGAAGTGTCTTCAATCTCCACCTTTACATTTTGAGACCTCACCTCTCACTGAGCAGGATGCACCCTGATTCAGCTACACTGTTCCGCCAGCAAGCTCCATGGATGCTCCTGTCTCCACCTCACATGCAGACAAAGTCTAGAGATCAAAACTAGGTCTTCAAGCTTTTAACTTATGTCTTGGAAAAGGTAGTGGAGGCAGAAGAACTCAGACCATCCCTTGTGCTCTTTTGGTGATGTGAAAAGGGGAATGAACAGATCCAAGCTGAGGGATTTACTTTTTGTTTGGTTGGTCTTCTTTTGTTCTTTATATAAGGTCTCACTATGTAGCCTATGCAGAGGAAAAACTTGCTATTTAGTTCACCTTAGCCTTGAACACATGACCCTCCTTCCTCAGCCTCCCAACTGCTAGGATTAGACATATGGGCCATCATGACTAACTCCAGTAATTTTATTTATCCATTTATTAAATTTTGCATGTGTGTGTGTGCACCCGTTAATGTCTGCACAGGTACATATGCACATATATGTGGATGCATGTGGAGGCCACAGGACCACCTCAGGTATCATTCCTCAGGAGCTGTCTACTTTGTGTTTTGAGTCAGGGTCTCTCACTGTCTTTGAGTGTACTGATTGGGTGAGGCTGGGTAGACAATGGGCCCCAATAATTTTTCTGTCTCTGCCTCTCCAGTGCTGGGACTATAAGCACATGCCAATATACTTCACATGGCTTTTTAAAAACATGAGCTCTGAGAAATTGAATTCAAGTCTCCATGTTTGTGGGGAAGGCACTCTACCTAAGATTTCTCCCTAGCGCATGTCCACCTAGCTATGTTATAAGAACTCCTTCTAGTTTCATTTTGTTGTGCTTGCTGTGATAAAACACCTTGACCAAAAGCACCTTAGGATAGGCAAGAATTTATTTGGCTCACAATTCAATGTGAAAGGGCTAGTCATAAACTACCTGAAGTCAAGAATAGAAGCAGAGAGACCCTTGCTTGCTTAATTCTCATTTGACCTTTTTCCTGGCTCGTATAGTTCAGGATCCCTTTCTTAGGGGATGGTGCCACCCACAATGGCTGGACCCTCCCAATTAACAATCAAGGCAATCCTCCATAGAGATGCACATGGACCAACCTGATCTAGATAATACTCTCTTCCCAGGTAATTCTAGGCTGTATCAAGCAGACAGTTAAAACTAACCAGTGTGGATCCACAGAGGACCCAAATAGTCATGCACCAATGTCTGCCAAGACTCCCTCTTCCTGCAATATGCTCCAGGGAGCAAGAGATATGGACACCAGCATGGTTCCCTTGGGAACAGAAGTGGAATTTCTTCCCTGCTGGCACGGAGTCCTACAGGCAGCCTGTCCTCCCCCGTACCTTCATCGCTGTTGTCGTCCACCAGGATGATCTCCTTCAGCAGGTGTGTGGGTGTGTGATTGACAGCACTGTGGACTGACCGCAGGATCACAGACAGGGCTTCATTCACGAAGATGAAGATGATAGATATCTGGGGCAACTCCTTGGAGTATTTGAGCTCCTTACACCTGGGGAAGAACAGGAAGGCTGTCAGAGAAAGCAAGTCAGCACACGAGAGGCTGGAGAGACGGCTCAGAGATTAAAGGCACTGCTCTTGATGAGGGCCCAGGTTAACCATATGGAGCAGCTCCGAAGTGCCTGTAACTCCAGTCCATCTCATGCTATCGCTCAGCTCCCATGGGAACTTGTATTTATGTGGCTCACATACATACCCTCAGGAGCACAAACACATACATATGAAATAAATCTTTTTTTAAAAAAATAATAGGAAAAAATACACATAAGATGTGGCTGAGCCAGAAGATTTTAGCCAATTTCTGACAAGGTGAGAAATCATCACTTTTCCTTGGCTCTCCATCTTTCTATATTCATTTCAAGACAAGGTCTCTGGTATTCCAGGCTCACCTCAAACTCACCATGGAACGGAGGATAACATTCTAGGGAATCTGACCCCCTTTCATGAGCACCAGGCATGCATATGCTGCACAGACATCCATGCAGACAAAACACCTACTCACAAAAATAAAGCTTTAAAATTAAATAAGAGAAATAAAACAAGACAACACTCTAGAAATAATAGCAAGGTTGCTGTTCTCTAGCCTCTACTGGCACACGTGAATGCATGCACATGGGTACACACACACACACACACACACACACATACACAAAAGGTATGCAAATATACAACTCATCCTGCCTCTACAAGACTACACAGTGCATAGAAGGAAGCCTGAGGACCCGAACAAAAGGAATGAGATGAAGGGATGGAGTGGGAGGGACATGCTGGGGTGGGAGGAAGGGATGTGTCTGTTTCTTTATGCTGAACAGCTTGGGCTGTGTCAGGCCGCATGAATCACACTGGCAATTTTCAGAAGAAAATAAAGTTTTGTTACGATGTACATCCATGCCTCCTGAGGAGACTGTTCAGGGATTCATGGATTACACACCCTTATTTTTTGCTGTAAATCCACTGATGAGGGACACAGAAGGGATACAAACGACCATTCATTGGTAGGCTCTTGAGCCGTTTGTTGGCAGAAGTCATCTCATTGACTGGGTGGTGAACCAAGGAGTGAGGCTATACCAGCACGTCTCTCAGGACTCGGTCTTGCATGCTCAGCCTGGGAGTCTGCAGCTGCTACATCTCAGCCCATTGCTCTCGATACTGAAGATGAGAGTTGATGTAGCTAGCTCATGCCTAGCTACCCCAAACAATCCTTGGCCAAAGTTGACCTTGAAGTTTTTGATCTTCCTGCCTCTACCTCTCAAGTGCTATGATTACAGGTGTGCACCGCTACACCCACTTTCCCAGTGCTGGCCTCTTATTTTAATATCCTTTAGTCCTTTCCGGCATGGAAGAAAAAGCCCTCTCTCTCTCTCTCTCTCTCTCTCTCTCTCTCTCTCTCTCTCTCTCTCTCTCACACACACACACACACACACACACACACACACACACACTTGCTACCTTCCTCTGAGGAGCCATGACTAACACACCATTCTTCATATTGGGAGAGATATTTGCAACCGATCAGAGAGTCCTACCTCATGAAACATTGTCATTGTAACCTCTCCTTCCTGTCAGAGCCTTGGCGCCTCTGACCCACCCAGAGCAATCATCACAGCTACCTTATTAGGGATATTGCTGCCACAGTGCAATTATCTCCAAGCTCCTCTGGCCTTCACTGGCCTCTTCTGCAATGCCAGAAATGCTGTATTCTGCCACATCCAGCTCCAACCATCACATTCTCCTTCCCGACCAGTTTCTTCTCCTTCTTCCTAGGAGACCTTCTCTTACACCCCAGTTCTGTGGCTGCTCTGGCTTATCTCTCCCTCTGTTAGCCCTTCCCTGGTATCTTAGTCACTAATTTTACTGTTGTGCCAAAACACCTAACAAAAGCAATATTGGTGCTCTGCTCACATTCAGGATGGTTGTTTCCATCTAAAGGTACCTAACCTAAAACCTCCCTCACAGTCAGGCTCAGACATGGGGAAGGCAAGGCAGCAATAATGTTTTAGTAGTGGCATGATTAGTGTTAACTGTCAACGTGATACAACCTAGAATCATCTGGGAAGATAGTCACAATCAGGGACTGTCCAGGTAAGGCTGGCCCATGGGTGGGCATGTCTGTGGGGAATTGCCTCGAATGCCTTACTTGGCTTGGAAAGACTCAGCCCACTGTGGGCAGCACCATTCCCTAGGGTGGATCCTGAACTGTATAAAGTTGGAGAGTGAATTGAGTGGTAGGTAAGCAGGAATTCATTTGTCTGTGTTCTTGACTGTGGATATATGATGTGACTAGGTGCTTCAAATTCCCGCCTTGACTTTCCCACAAATGATGGGCAGTGGCCTGGAATTGGGAACCTAAAGATTTTTACTTGTTTGTTTGTTTTTATTTATCCAGGTTTCAGAAATGAAACTAGAATGAAGACTCTGAATTAATACATGGCTTTGTCCCTTAATGGAGCAGTAATAGCATGCCGTTATGGGGAGGTGGTAAATGGTCACTGGGGTTCCTGGGAGCTGTGTTTTATCTCCACTCCTCCAAGCATTCTCTTTCTGTTTTTTCTGCTTGCTGTGATGTGAGCTGCTGGGCTCTATCTACCCTGCAGCTCTAGTTGATGGACCAATAAAACCAGGAGTCAACATACATCCTTCCTTTCTTAGATTCTTCCTGTTAGATGTTGGTTACAGTATAAAGAAGGAACCAAACACAGCTTCAACTCTTCTCTCCAACCCCATCTCTCCTCCTTGTCCAGGAAGGCTGCCCCTCCGCACACACACACTTTTCTCTTTGCCTGAAATACTCTATCACTTATCCACCCACTCCCCCACCCTTAAGCCCTGGTTCCTGGCAGTGTTCCTAGACCTCCATCCCCAAGCCCAATTCCTCTCCTTTGCTAATTTCTATCCCTCCCCACAGTCCTCTTCTCTCCTCCCCAAGGCAACCACCAATCTTCTTCCTTTTTGCCTTCCCAGAACTTCATGAGAAACTCTCCCGCCCCTCCTGTATTTACCCCACCTGCTATTCCCTCCATCAAAGAAAGGTATCACCTATTTTCCACTACAGGTATATGTGGGTGACAGTTCTTCCAAGCTTAAAAGACATCTCCAGCACAAATGCGCTTCTGTCTCTCTTGATTTACTAATCAGGGCTCAAATGCGCCACACTGCCTGGGTCAAGTACATCCAGCAGCCTGGTACTCTAGTTACGCTTATCTCTTCTCATCAAGTCTTGTCTGTATCTTAGGAGAACAGTGTCATTTTTAGCAATAGCAGACCTTGCAAAATGAGATGTGGGGTAGAATAACACAGATCCACGCTGTGCTGTTCCTCTCTTGGCACTCTCATTATTATGGGGTGGAAATGCACACTTTGCTGGGTGGTTTAATTTCCTCTTGAGCTCCATGGTTCCTATCAGATGAGCCACATACCTCATTAGCTAGGCCTCCTGAAAAACTGCCTACTCTAGCATTAGAGCTCCCTGGGGCTGCCCTATCCATCTTGGTGACAAGTGCTTATCTTAGGGTCCAGGGAACCCCAGAGAAAGTCCAGAAATTAATTGCACAAAGTTGTGCGGGAATATATACCTTTAGTTAGTCTGATGCAGGAGCATGCTAGGAAGGGTTGAACCAGGCCCTCCTGGCCAAAAGAACACCTCTGTTGGTGGGCAACACTGTGTCAAAAATCACACAAAGCCCCAAGTCTTCCCTGCCTGCCTGGTTCCTACAAACTTTTATTCTGGAATATTCCCACAAGGTACTTTTTATTCTTGGATGGCTCACTTCCTGGCTCCATGGCTACCTAGGAAGTATTTTTTTTTTCTGAGTCATAAGGAACTGCTTTTCAGAGCACAGCCATCTTTAGCCAAAAATCCAGGGGGTCTCACTCTCCTTTGCCATATTAAGATACAGTGGGAGGTTCCGGTACAGGCAAGAACCATCCACACCTCTATGGACAGAATGACTTCTTTCAATTCTGTTTTCTTTTTTCTTTCTTCCTTCCTTCCTTTCTTTTTCTTTTTTTCTTCCCTTCCTCCCCCTCTCTTCCTTCCTCCTTCCTTCCTCCCTTCCCCTTTCCTTTCTTTTTAATGAAAGGCTGTGGGTTTTACCTTTAGCCTAGGTTCTGATGATAGCTGACCCTCTTACACTTAAATCCTTTGTCTGAAAGAGAATGGAGGACACACACACAGACACGTAGGGGCCTCCTAGGGTGCCCTTCAGACCCTCAGTTTAGTAGATGGTTCCACCTGGCTCTGATACAGTTGCTTTTATTATGCTGAAGCAAAAAAGAAAGAAAAGAAAACCCCTAGAGTTTTATTAAGCAGGGGCCCAGGAATAGAATCTGTAAAAATAATTAAGAGCAAATTGGTGCAGACAGTTTTAGGTCAAAGCTAAGAAAACCTCCACACACTCAAGGCAAGAGTGACGCCCCCAACATTACTGGGAGGCAGCTAACCTGGTACAGTGGAAGGGGAGGGGTTGGCCCTGCTGCTGCAGGAGGGCTGGAGGGACATTAAGAAATTATGCAGTCTTGGAAGAATAAATAGCTTTATTTAAGGTCCAACCAATCGCACACTTGGTCAGCAGGGTTCTTCCCAGAAACCAAAAGCCATACCATGAAACTCTTCTCAGAGAAAGACAATCTATCCCTTCTCCATTGCTTCTGAGCAATCCAGACTGCTCTAACGGTTTTGCTGTTTGTTTGATTTGGTTTTAGCTGTCTTCGTCTAGCAAGCCCTGGGATACACCCCCATTACACACACACCATAAAGCAGGCTTGGTAGTACACACCTGCTGCCAATACTTTGGAGGCAGAGGCAGGAGGATCGGAGTTCAGGGTCATCCTCATTTGCATTGTGGGTTCTGAGAGATTAAACAGAACCAAGAGATAAGAAACAGATGGATCTCAGAGAGTCTGTGCCAAGGACTGACAACAAACCAAAGGAGAGAATTCATCAGTCAATGGCGCCGGAACCCTAGTCTCTATTGGATAAAATCATGAGCAGCT